TCCAGGTCCCCTCGCATTACTGTGAAGACACTTGGATACGTTGCTAACGACATGTGGTATCTTGGTGCTGGGAGACTGGAGGGGGCCATGCGTAGTGGCGAAACTCACTATAGGACGGCCAGCTCCGGTGGAACCAGCCTAATCACTTTTTTCCCCACAATGGTTTCTGGGGGTTTCATAGAGCCTAGGCTTGTTTGTACGTCTTGTCTGTTGACGATGGTGGTGACTTCAGCAGTGGGCGGAGCTGTCACTTACTGTTGTCGCAGTATCCTGGGTCTACCTTCACAGCAGCAAACGTTCCCACTGATGTTATCCTTTACTGTATACCAAGTTTACAGTACTCTGGTTGAAAGTTCTTGACAGACGAAGTTGACAGCCATCAACCGGGATGATGTTATCGTTGTCGAATGTCAGGGGCTTGGTAGTCTGCAGACCGCTGCCGCTATCCCATTTAACCCTATCCTTACTGATAACCACTGCCAATGTTGGACGTCATGTGTATACTTTTCTACGACTGTTCCGGTTGTCAGTCCCAACAACCATAGTTGTTGGTTTCAGCTTTAAGGGTGCCTTGTAAGACACTTTTCTTGCTGACCAAGGACGGTCTGGTCTGGCTGTGGTACTGGACGACCTATTGATGGCTGGTGTGTGTACCATCAACAAGAATCTTTCCGCTTCCCGACGACACCATTTTATTCCGCAAAGTTCCTCCTCCCCGCCTCGTCTAAATTCGTCAAGGGATCTAAAAGCATGGCGGTCTGATGTGTCTAACTGGTGCCATAAAGATTTTGGAAGGCCTAATCACGTAGGATACACTTACACACCTTGCTTTCCAGCTGGAAACATGTCTTTGTAGGAATGCTTCATTCTTTCTAAGTATCCTCTCAGGAAGAGAAGGCTTGGCAAATCCCAAAGGTGGCAGAAGGCACATGAATGTCAGTTTCTCGGACATTGTTAAGGCGTTTGACGAGCATATTTTGGAATCACATACATTAAAGTGTTCGTTGATGGTGGCGGGGAGAGTTAGGATCAGTTCCAAACTTTTCCCCTGGACGTTAGCACATACAGGAGCGTCATGAAGCAAAGTCTTATACCAGTATTTTATGCAGGGTGAACTACGGGATAAAAAGAATTCTCACATGAATCTTCATGCTGGTGACGCGATGGTCTAATGGGAGTTGTGGAGTGGTGGCAATATTTGTACATTTCAAGTGGACCTGCGAATCTTGTTGAGGTGGTCAGAGAGACGGCTGGTCTTTTTCAACGTGAGTAAGCGCATATCCACGCAAGCAGGGCATGTGAGCATCAACAATTAGGTGTTCGGACGGACTTCATTATCAGTACTGATCTAAAGATCAAAGAAGGTCATGTTTCGAAAACTCTAGTGAACTGCCAGTCAACTGAAGCCAAACGCTTCGGACCATCCTTAGCAATCGTAGGTTTTTACTGCCATCAGAAGCAAAATATTAGCCACCCTATACAAAATCCCCCAGAAAAAGACTGGAAAAGGCATTGTCTGAAAGTGACCTTAAATCTCAGGGGCAGCCATTCGTTTCACCTCTAAGGTGACTGGTTTAACAATTGTTAGATGACTTCAGAAGTTAAAAAACTCCAGCCTGCATCTCAGGCGTAAGTGATAATTAATCATGGTTTACAGGGCTGTAGGAATTGATGCTGAACATGATTCATCTCTTTTTTTTGTAACTATTCTAGAAAACATAAGAATATAGAGCAGTGTGGTGCTAAAACTGAAGAACTTTTCATTCAGTAGAAGAATCAAGAAGCGAACAGACTTATTAAACAGAATTCTTCATGAAACCGAAGTCTATTTCTTGATGTGATCAAATTGCCGATTGAAATGTGTTTTTCCCGATAGCATTTGTAGGACGTTCGTTCCTTGACGCGCGCTCCTTGGATAGTGACGTATTTTCGCTCGTCTGTCAGCTTTTGGATTTTTCCACATTGAAAAACTCCCACTTACAATACTCAATCTAAAAAGATCGAACGTTTGCAGCACTTCTGTCCGTCCACGCACCTCACCCCTGCGCATTCGTCAGCTCACTCCTCAACAGTTGAAAATTGGCATTATTATTCCTTTGAACCAACCGGTCTACCTCCTGTCAGTGGTTCTTGGGCGTTTCAACTGCCAAACTGCCTTAGCTCTCGGTTCTCCTCGGAGGTCATTCCCCAGGAAATATCTTCCCTGGTTATACATACGCATCTGGAGCTTACGGTTAAACTCGTTGGTCAAGAGCAGAGGATCAAGTGACAAGTGTCTGAAGGTGAGCCAACATAAATTATCTTCCCTTTTCTATTCTGTCCTTTTGCTGCATTCAGTCTTCAACCCTCTTATTGTTGTTAACTACTTGTTTTCCCAAGAAGTTTATATCATAGCGACATGTCTGCCCAAAACGCTAGGTCTGAAGCTTTGACACGGATAACGCGGTCGTGCACAAAACGGCCAGTAACACCCTAAACAACACACTAGTCTGTACTAGAAGACAAACAGAGGTAGGGCAGAACACCGAACTTCTAAAGAAGTGGCCAACCCATGTTTCTAGAATTCCAGTCGCCATCAGACAGGTGACACAGAGTAGCACTAGCCCGTCACAAACTAGTCCTATCTTGAGCAAGGATCATACCATGCCTGAAATAGAAGACGACGTAAAAGGCTTCAGAACAAGGCAGCCACAAGCAGTTCGCCACAATCCGTAGCACCTTATTCATGGAAGGAAGGCTGTATTACGACACCCGATGGCTGCAGTGTTTGCACCAAAGTTGTTTCGGTAGTCGATGAGGCATTTGCATGCAACCTGTGTCAACGATGGGCGCATTGCCACTGCGATACCAAAGTCCCCCGACAATACTATAAGCTGATGAAGAGACAACCATGCAAGTGGTTCTGGTACATCTGTCCAGAGTGCAGGAAAATGCCCGCACTCCGCACAGAAAGCCTGAAGGAGATGCTCTCCGCCACGCAAAAGCTACCAGCATCCTCGAATAAGTAGGGTTAACACCAAAGGATAACACAGAGAGACCTGGAAACAGACCTAGAGCTCCAGCTGTGGGCACGCCACCTCGCGTGGGGACCATATTAGGTCAAGTCTCCATACCCCTACCCGGCCCCAGGGGACGTCAAGCGCATGGCCAAAGACATCGACCGCCGAAGCCTCTACGAAACCCATTCCGAACACCCCACACACCGTGACTGAGAAACAACCAGTGGAATTACTCAAACCCATTGGGAAGTCGGGCGTGCCACCCACAACGAACCCAGGTCACAGGAGGACCAACTCGATCATTTTGTTCAACGTCGATGTATCGACAGACTCATTGTTGGTCGAGAGGGAACAATTTGACAGCCGAATGTGGACCGACTACTGTCAGATGCTGGGACTCCCTCCCCTCCCTGCAACTTTATGTCGCCTTTCTCGAGGAAGCCATGCACCCCGAGATAAGCCACCCCCTTTACGTGTGTCCCTAAATACCGCCAAAGAGGCTGAAGACACACTCCTCCTCTCGCGACAACCGGACGTTGTTAATGCCTGTAAAATTCGGGCCAGGCCTGACAAGCCATGGTCATAAGAGAGGAGGAGAGAAAGTCAGCGGTTGGAAATCCCAACAGAAACAACACTATAGTTGTACATGGGATTCCAGAATTGCCAAGTGACAGCTCGGTCAAAGATCGGTACTTTCACGACGTCCAACAATGGCAATGGCTCTCAACCAAAGTTGGTCTCAACAGTATACCGGCCAACAGCGTCAGTAGACTGCCAAGGCCAGCGCACCTGAAGACCATACCCAATCCCAGACTACTTGCCGTCCAGTTCGACTCATATGCCTCCCTCACAGACGTTCTGCACGCATGGTATAATGCGAAAGATCGCATGGGTGGCTCAATACGTATATGTGAAAGTAAGCCTAGACCCACAAGGCAAGAGGAGAGACGGCAACCACCAAGACCTCTGGAGTCAGTGGTCGTCACACAGGCGCTGACCAGTGAGTTAGATACATCAAGTAAAGAAGCCACCACTGCTACAGCCCCCACCCAAGTTAAGAACAAAACACAAAAAACGGAACAATGCCAGTCCTATGAGGACTGGCGAGGCTAACCAACCACGTAAGCGCTCATCCTGCGAAAATACACATCCAGACCTCCCCCTCATCAGGCACACTCTAATATGTATGTACAGCAACGTTAGGGGGCTAATAGGGAAGGTAGCAAAATGAGGACGCTGCGTGAACATCAGCACTCCGACATCATATTCATCACCGAATCCTGGCTCTCGTCGGACATCTCCGACGAAGAGATGCGTGTTGCTGGCATGGAACTCTTCCGCAGGGACAGGGAACATAGAGCAGGAGGGGGAGTGGCTATCTACGTAAACTCCTGTTTAAAGGCAAGGATGGTTAGCGATACGGCCTTAACCCAGCTCCCAGAGTCTCTATGGTGCTACTTCACTCTCTTCTTTATTCTCTCTTCATTCCTTTACCACTACCTTACTATTCTCTTCCAGGTACCTACACAGACAGGAGTCATGGCAGTTCTCTAAACTTCCCAGCAACCCGTAGCTCCCTAATCACTCTACAAATTACAACCTACTAACCCACAAAACATCCACCTCACCGAAGCTAAAAGCAAGAAAGCAGAGGGATTTCCTCGTCCACTGCAGGAGTAAACCGAACAACTGGAACCAAGCCCTAAGAACTAGACGCGAGAGATCAAAAACTACCAGTTTTCTACGCTCGCACTATCAATATTGGATATTGGTAGCTGTTAGGTCGTAGTGTTCTACTTCGCTTGTGTACGTGATGGGTTTGTCAAAGCTGAATATAAGTGAAGTCGACCTAAAGGGAAACGTGTTCTTATTCGGTAAGAGAGTTTGGACAGTGCTGACATTTCTACTTTGCAGAGTTGATTTCAATGTTCCTATGAAAGATGGGAAAGTCACTAACACACAAAGGTGAAGATTGTGCAATGTTTTCTTATTTTATCTTAGGATTTCTGCAGCGATACCAACAATTAAATATGCTTTGGATAAAGGAGCTGAAAGTGTCGTATTGATGTCACATCTAGGTCGGCCAGATGGCAATAAAGTTGACAAATATTCCCTAAAACCTGTGTGTCCTGAAGTTTCGAAATTACTTTCGCAAGGAAGTTACTTTTCTTCCTGACTGTGTGGGTCCTGATGTATTAAAGACATGTGCTGATCCTACTCCTGGTTCTGTATTTCTCTTAGAAAATCTGCGTTTTCATGTGGAAGAGGAAGGCAAAGGAGTTTCACCTACTGGCGAAAAAGTCAGTATTATATAAACTGTATTCTATCCGCTTATTTTTAAAGTTTTCTTTTCCAGATATGGCATAAGTGTATATATTTCTGCGCTGCAGGTACTCTTTAGGTCGAAGGTTACAAAAATCACCAAGGGAATCCCTGCGGCTTTTATGTATATGGCTAGGCTAAAACTTTGAACGTGTTGATATACTCGTTCAGCTTTTATTTTCGCCTTAAGTCATCATCATTATCAACATAGGACCAGGCATTACTGCGTAACGGTCTGAGTTGCCACACCTCATATCAGCACATCAAGTAAAAAGGTAGTGAGGTGAAGGATGAAGATAAGTGAATGCAGTCAAAAGAAATATAAAGTACGAGAAGAAAGGAAAGAGGAGTGACAAAATAGTGAGATTCGGTATAGCGTTGTTAAGATGAGGATAATGTGTATATACATCTGCGCCACTGACTTCGGTTCTCAGCCATATTACCTAGGGTCTCCAACCACTGGTTCCTCTTGTCCCGTGGACCCCAACCACCTAGTCTGCATCGTCCTACATGGCTTAAATCAACAGTCAGAGACTTCATACAGTGGTGCCATGTTTTAGTCTGGCCACCTCGGGCCTTTTTCCAGCCTGAACCCACCTCAGCCAACATTGTGTGAAGAGGCAATCGGTGACTAGGCATACGTAGTACGTGTCCCAACCATCTCAGTCGATAAAGGTTCACAAACTCGTCGACTGACTTACCTCTTCTCCCCAAAACTCTACACCTAACTTTTGCATTACTCACGTGGTGACACCACGGAATACGTCCTATACTACGAAGGCAACGGTGGTCGAACACCTGAAGCCTTTTTGTATCCTCCACTTTCAATGGCCATGTTTCACAACCATACAGTAGAACAGAGCGGACTGCTGTGCAGTACACGCGACCCTTAATAGACAAACGAATATCACGGTGGCGCCATAGGTGGCGCAAATTGGCAAAAGCCAATCGAGCCTTTTGTATCCGTGCAGAAATCTCATCGGCAACTGACCCACCAGGGTTGATCCTACTTCCCAGGTAAGTGAAGTGGTCAACACACTCAACCACTTCACTCTCTATTGTTAACCGCGGTACCGCTGAAGACCAGTCCTGGAGCAAAAATTTGCATTTCGGTGGTGAAAATCGCATCCCAAACATTCTCAAATTCCCACTCAAAGTGTTCAGAAGACTCTGCATCTTGTCAGCGTCTTAACCTAACAGGACTATGTCATCTGCATATTCTAGATCCAAGGAAAATTCACCTGTGATCGGGTCAACGTCTTTGTAATTAGGTGACGAGAGGGAAACCTCCATAAGAATATCTATGATAAAATTAAATAAGAATGGGGATAGTGGGCATCCTTGACGGACACCACTTGATGAGTATAGCTCCCTGGTTTCGCCTTAAGACTTTGGTGACAGTCTAAAACCAAGGGTGCGCTTCAGCTGTGGGTTATCAGGTGATAACTAGTGGTAGATGTACTGCTTTTCCACCTGTTTTTGGTTCGAAATTAAATACCCATCCTCTTCCAAAGGCATTTAGGTGATGTCTCCGTCGAAAAACCACTAGGACAATTTACCCTACATATGCTGCTAAAAAGTGACATCCGGTTTCAGCCGGTCATCTGGTTTCCTATTGTTGTTGACTTGCATATTTGAAAGGTTAGTGGTGGGATCATAGCACCACTCTGTTGTGATTTGAAGCATTTTGAGTGTTACCTGCCTACAAACCATTAGGCATGTGATGCGAATGTTAGGCACCTTAAGTGAGGTTATTTTCGTAATACTACGGTAAGTTAGTCTTTCTGGAACACTGGCAAGCTTACCGACGCCCGCAAAGCTGTATTTCTCGACCCGGAAGGCGGGCACTCGACTCTTCATCAAAATCAGTATAGGACCAGCCATTACTGGGTAACGGTCCGAGTTGCCACAGGACTGGACTCTGTCTTTTAAGAGGTCTCATGGCTATACCTCACTGAAAGACGTATCAATTAAATGCATCACCTTAATGAAAGCTCTACTCGGACACCTGTGGTTGTGTTAGAGCCCACGATGAAATATTGGGTGAGATGTGTACGTCGAGTGTTCGTCAAGGATGCTTATTCTCACCATTATTACTCAATCTTATCATAGACGTTCTTATTGAGGTCTTTCTGTCAACATCTGAACCGTCATCGACTGAGATGGCTGGGATATGTGTTGCATAGACGTAGCCACAGTCTGCCTCGTCAAAATGTTGGCCGGAGTTTCAGGCTAGAAAACGGCTCGAGTTGGCCAGACTAAAACATGCCATCAATTCATGAGGTCCTTGACTGTTAGTTTGAGCCATGTAGGACGATGCGGACTGGCTGGTTGCGGTCGGCGAGACAATCGAAACCAGTGGTTGAAGATTCCAGGTGATATGACTCAGAATCAATTCCAATGTAGGGATTTGTACACATTGTTTTCATCTCAACCGTTATGTTTTATCACATTTCCTCAGGTATGCGATCACTTCGATCGAATTTGGTGTGATTTTATTCTGTGGTGGTTGTTTCTAAATGATTTGTAATTACTCGGATGCAACTTCTTGTTTCAACAGGCGCGCATATCCTTTTTCTTTGATGCTTTCGTAATTCTCATTATTTCTCTGTGAAATATTACGATTACTCCAATTTTAGATGTATCTTATCAGTAGTAGCTCCTGTTATTGGCATTTATGCTACTTTTTTCTGCTTAGTTCTAAAGATGTGGTATTCCACTCCAGCTATCCACTTAAGGGAAGTGTTTGTCCAGCAACCTATTAAAAACTTAGAACAACTCATTTTTTTCAGTTGCAATTTATTTCCAAAGATAGAGATGTTTTAATTTATGTCTCCACTTTTGAGGATGCACGTCGGAAGTACTTGAAATAATGTATTTAATTTACTTAGTAGCCCATTTACCTGCAACCAGCAATAATTAATAGCAAGCAGAGATAGTCCTGGGTAAGTGCCCAGTAGCAGTAGAGCGATTCGTTTAATGAACACCAGCTACATTTTTGTTCTAAAGTTACTTCCCAGGTAAACAAGTCATTCTGAAGCACGTAGTTTTTACTGAGGATATATGCATCTGAGGCATAACTTAGCATTCTGCTCACTGAAATTTTGAAGTAACTCAGTTTTCAAGTAAATTAGTTATCATTTCACGGGGCTGGAGCAACCGGATAGTATCATAAGGCCTCACACCAAATTGTGGTCCATAACTTAGTACATAACTATGTTTCGAGTAAAAGTGGTTCCTCCAACATTTACCAACTTAAATCATCTCTGGCGTCCGTAAAACATCCGACCACCTATTAAAGTATGAATAAGCTGTATTTCGATCCGCTTTGTCGTATTATACGGTTGAGGGAGCCGTTGAGGGTAGAAGATGTGGAGAGATTACAGGTTTTTGACTACAGTTATCTTGGTAGCAGTTCTCACTTATTGTAGGATCCTTGTGTGAGCAATGGCGAAATTAAACGTAGGGTATCAGGCAAGATAGGCACTTCAGTCAATGAGGTTGTAAAGCCCCACATTTTTTGCATACCGATACATCGCCCGCCTTGGCATCCGATGTTCGCCAAAGTAGGATTGCTTTAGAAGAAGGTTCAACGTGGCCATATGCAGACGTGCTACCAGTCCATTTAGTCTCTGGCCGTTGATCTGAGCCATGTGAGGTGTAGGCGACGTGGTTGCGGTCCTGAAGAGTAGAAATTATTGGTTTAAGACTCTTGATGATATGACTAGAAATCGGTCATCGTGCTCCCGAAGTATACACTTTGTCGTATTCAAAGTATTGAATATTTTCATTGACCTTGATTGATTTCTTCTCCTCTCATACACTGTAAAGTTTGATAAGCTCAACCGATGAACTTCTCTGCCAGTTTCTACTTTCGTTCGCCTGTTTCCGGTTGATTAACATCAATAAATTCGGTATCACAACTTGAAATTGTGTGACATAATACTATTTCAACAGCAATATTTGTGTTGTTGACGCTTTCCTGACAACACATTGTTTCCTTTTCTGTGTTTGTAGACGAAAGCTACTACTGATCAGATCAAAGCCTTCAGCGAAAGTTTGACAAAACTGGGTGATGTTTACGTAAATGATGCGTTTGGCACTGCACATCGGGCTCATGCGTAAGTCAACTGTATGTTACTTTTTTACGTTCCAATCCGTCTAGTAGTTATATATGGGCTTATGTATGGTTCTTAGAGAAGAAAATCCGTTTCTTTTTTGAATTCCAACTGTTGAGGTAGTTAGATAGTGTTTTGTATGCCCAGTTGGTGTTTTTAATATGACATTTTGGATGTAGTTGGGAGTAGATTGGGTAAAGTCTCAAAATGACTTACACATGCTTTGATGCATACAGCGCACATATCATTTGCAGCGTAATGCAGTTTTATGTATGGAACTGACATTATAGTATGAATATACCTATTGTTATTAACGCATCACAGGTAAGGAACTGAAGATGAATTAAATGCAGTCAGAAGCCTTATGAGCATTTGTGCGGTAGGCAATAAACCGCACCTATTGTGTGAGGCCTGTGATACTAACTGACTGGCAAAACCTCGGTGGGTGGAGCAGGGCATAGTTATCCATATTTTTTCATCAATTACTCGCATTCTGGTAGGTATCAGTCAACTTATCACACTTAATCGTACTTTTCTTAAAAAAACCAACGGATTAGTAATTGAGCATCGACAAAAATATAGTCCTTTTGATTTACAATGAGGTGGGGTTGTCTGTGTTGATTTTTATCGGAAATGATTTGCCTTTGCTTCCACTTTTTTCTGCCATTACTCTTACCTTTTGCTTTGTGTTCTAAGTCACTTAAGTAGCTGTTTATATTTTGTTCATACCTTTTTTAAGTCTTAAGCACTATTTATTTGTTTTGCGTACGAGTCAATCAATATTAACTCCATATTTTTTCTTTTAATAGTTCAATGGTTGGTTGCCAGTTACCACAAAAGGCCTGTGGATTTCTCATGAACAAGGAGTTAACATATTTCGCTAAAGCTCTAGAGAATCCTGAACGTCCTTTCCTTGCAATCCTTGGAGGGTAAAATTCCTTTTCTTATGTGCTTTATGCTGAACGAATACCCTTAAAATTATTTTGTTTTTGATATTACGATAGTTGTACATTACATGAAATTCTTGCTTGCAACATATAAGGCACACAGTTTCTTTTTCTTAATGTAGCGCCAAAGTTAGTGACAAGATTCAGCTAATCAATAATATGCTTGGTAAAGTTAATGAATTAATCATTGGTGGTGGTATGGCGTATACGTTCCTCAAGAAGCTGCACAATATGAATGTAAGTTAACTCAATTCTGTTTTGTTTGAATCAAGGCCCTAGTTTTTGTATTCATTCCTGAAGTGTTAATTCTGACACCTACCTGAGTTGATTTGGAAGATTATTAGAAATACATCTAAAAGAGTAAAAGACGGTTTTCATGAAACCCCAAGCAGTTGTCACCAGGTTTATTTAACCATATAAATCTATATGAAATGATAAACTGACAATAGCTAATTCATGCTAAAATTGCTGTAAACAAATATGGATACCTGTAGTAGCCCAGTTGTTGAAATGTACTGTCGTTTAAACTATTGAATATTTACGTAAGACTTCTGCCTATATGAACTTAAACAAAAGCTTTTTAGGTTGTTTTGTAGTCCATTTATCAGGAAAGACTCTGTTTCCTATCACTAGTTTCGATATACATGGTCAAAAGTGTGATCCATCTGTTGGTAGTTTGATTGAAAACAGCCTAGCATTTTCACATAATTCCCGAAATTTTGAAGGCTATGAGTGTAGCATTATTGTTGTTGTATTAAGTTTGACAGTAAGTAAGTTTCCCTTCGAAGTGCTCCATTGTTCATGTTTTACGTGATCCTAGTTATTTGGACATTTTCATTGTATTAATGTCCATACTTTTTGCATTTTCATTTTGTAGATTGGAGGTAGTTTATATGATGCAGAAGGTGCCGAAATTGTTAATAAGGTAATGGAGACAGCTAAGGCAAAGAATGTTGCAATCACTTACCTGTGGATTTTATCACGGCTGACAAGTTTGCGGATGATGCAAATACCGGAGCAGCAACCATAAGTCAGGGATTCCTGATGGTTGGATGGAAGGTCGAAGCATTTTATGTAATAACTCATGTACGTGTACAGATTTGAAGTTGTTAGTCATTTTAGACATGCTACTCTTTTCCTCCTGTGGCAACTTGATATTGAGATACAACCCATTGGAGACAAAATATTCAGTTATTGACATCATCATCATCATCAACATAGGACCAGGCATTACTGCTTAACGGTCCGACTTGCCACACTTCATATCAGTACATCAAGTAAAGACGCAGTGAAGTGGAAGAAAAGAAAACTCAGCCAATAGAAATATAAAGTACTAAAAGAGAGAAAGGAAGGAAGAGAAAATGGTGAGATTCAGTATGGCGTTAAGATAAGGATAATGTGTGTATACATCTGCGCCACTGACATCGGTTCTGAGCCATGCGATCACCTAGACTCTCCAACCACTGGTTTCTCCTGTCCCAATGAACCCAACCGGCTATTCTGCATCGCTCCACAACTCAAACCAACAGTCCAACACTTCATACATTGATGCCATGTTTTAGTCTGGCCACCTCAGGCCCTTTTCCAGTTTGGACCTACTTCGGCCAACATTAGTGGACGAGGCAATCGACGACTAGGCATACGTAGTACGTATCCCAGCCATCTCGGTCGATGAAGGTTCATAACCTCGTCAACTGATTTACCTCTACTCCCTAAAACTCTACACCTGACTTCTGCGTTACTCACGTAGTGACACCACGGAATACGGTTTATACTACGAAGGTGACGGTGGTCAAACACCTGAAGCCAGCCTTCCCATATCTTCCACCTTTAGTGACCATGTTATTGGCGGTTGAAAAATCTAATTTGTTCAGTAGTGTAATTAGTATTCTTCACGTAAATGTGAAATATTTCTACATCTGGTCGAGTATTATGAACTAGTTGGTTGCTCGAACGCTCTTTATTAACTTATTCTGTCTAGTCCTTACCCAGGATGTATTCACTGTAGACTAAATATGACTACTTACTTGAATTTACTAACTTTATGCAGCATTTTTATTTACGGAGTTTTGCAAGAGTATTTCATTTTATGAGTTTTGTAAAATCCTGAAGTTAGTCCCAGAAGTTAGAATTGTGGTATTTTACTTGTTTTTCAAGAAAGGGATAAGAGCAGTAAATGCAAGTTAAAAAACTAATTAGCTTGGCTTATGCTTTTGTAAGCATTTTCACCATGTCTTTGTGTACTCATCATTTGATGAGTGAAGAAAATGTTGCCAGGTAACTGCTGTTGTTGGGAATTAAAATACAGAAGTATCTAAATGTTATCTTGTTGTACGTAGAATGAATGGATGAGTGGATGTTTGTCTATCAAATTTGCATAGGACTCGTGTTTTCAGGATTTCGATGTTGTAAAATTAATTAGGGATAATGAATTCGTCCTGAAATCAGTAAGTAGCATCAACTCGAATTAAATGATTAGGCGAAGCCGCATACTGCACTTCCTACCACTCTGTCCTTGATTCTGACCTTATTTTTCGGATCGTAATTTAGGCAACTATAAAACAATACCATAAGCTATAAGTTGTGCTGCACAACCTACTACACAAATCTGTGCACAATTACTGGTTAGATTCTCTCTATTTAGCCTTATAGATTGCATCATGTCATTTCTGGTGACTGAAAAATTTCCTTCACAGACTTTAGATGGCCTCTGAAGTGGAGATTTTTGAAGTTCTTTGTTTTCCCGGTAGAGAACATTCAATAATGTCCGGTAACTGTGTAACAATTTCGGTTTTCACTACCTCCCTTGCTGGCCTAATTCAACTGTTTTAACTTGAAATTTGCTAGGGATTGGACATCGGACCAAAAACAGTTGAAGAGTTTCGCAAAGTAATTAGTCGCGCTAAAACCATTGTGTGGAATGGTCCTATGGGTGTTTTTGAAATGGCTAAGTTTGCTTCTGGGACAAAATCAGCAATGGACGCAGTGGTTGAAGTTACTAAACATGGAGCTACAACTATTATCGGTAAGATTTTTATGCATACTTTTATTCAGTGTATTCGTTGTATCCTGGCTTAGTCCGTTAAACACACTTACTATTTATGACTGTGATAAACCATATTGTAAAATCACTTTTCAGCCTGTTGATTATGTTAGATTTTTCAACTGTCTGTTCTGAGTTCAGATCTTGTTTTTTTTAGTGGGTAGTTTTCCTCGACCACTTTAGCATCTATTCATCTTGTGTTTTTTTAAGGTGGTGGTGACACTGCAACTTGCTGCGCCAAATGGAATACAGAAGACAAAGTCAGTCATGTTAGTACTGGTGGTGGTGCTAGCCTAGAGCTTCTCGAAGGTAAGCAATGTGATGAACAATATCAACTCTGTTCACCTTTTTACACTCATATTTCCTGACTGCATGAAAATAACGCTGTGATTGTTTTCACTTAGTTGAAGTATCACTTTCGTTGGATTGTAATTAATTTTGGTCATTTGGCTTTTTCTTCGTAGACTAATTCAGGTAGAACGGCACTTAAGTAGAATCTCAGCTGAACGAACAGATAAAGGTGATCTGCTAAGGCTATGCTCAAACATTCATCTATTTCTGGCCTGGATGAACTTCAGACATATTGTCTGACGTGACTACCACTGACTTCAATTCACCGGTGTGAACAGATAGATCATATTGCTGTTGGCTATCACTGAAGAGAGACGGTGAAAGATTGCCTCTCCTTTTGGGCCACACATTTGGATAGCGATCACGCATTGGCTTAAGCACGTGTATGTCTGCGCCTGAATAGATGCGGGAAAGCTACTGCAGCAAGACTTTTGCAAATGCTGCTTGACGATGAAAATACTAAGGCTGCTTTCAGCAAGTAACTGCCTAGATAGTTATTGGTACAGAACAACACTCATCCGGTGAAAGCTTGGTGCCATCTCCAGTCTGCTATGAAAACAGCGTTGAAGATCGGAGGTTAAACTCAAAAAGTGGTTAGAAAGAGCTAGAGGATCTCTGCAGCTCCTAAACTAGTGAATGTAGGCACATGCATCCCTGCAGCTCCCGAGCAAAATGAAGAACAGAGGCAAGTCAAATGTTGACTGACAGGTAGTCTACGCCAATGGTCGTGAACAGCATTGGGCAACGAAAGCTAAAGAAATGGGAAAAGCAGCGGTGACAGATATTTACACTTATCAAGTAAATCGGGACTGAAAAGGTCAATGGTTGTTCTGACTATGGTGAAAGATGGGTCTGGGATTCGCTCTCAGGGGAGAGGAATAAAATAATTGGTAAAATACTTCGACGAGCAGTTCAACTGGCCTCCGTTTAAATGTCCCATCACCCGCTAACCAGTCGGGTCGTGAATGGAACATTAAGATTAAGGCCTCCAATATTTGCAGAGTCAGTGAAAGCTGTAGGTAATATGAAACGAAGAAGCGAGTCGAAACTAGATGGACTGATACCCGAGATATTTAAGGATGGTATTCGTGGTTTTTTTGTTAAGAAGTGTTGTCTGGTGTATTGTAATCAAAGGTAATCCCCTGTAGCTGATTTCAATTACTGATTATCCCAGTTCTCAATAAAGGTGGGAACTCTATTTTTGTCTGTTTATTAGAAATATCACACAGTGAAACAGTAGCATTTACTGGATAACGTTTCGGACACAATTTATTGTCCATATTCATATCAGGTGATATGAATATGAACAATAAATTATGTCCGAAACGTTATCCAGTAAATGCTACTGTTTCACTGTGTGATATTTCTAATAAACAGACTAGAATGGAATTACACTCGACCACAGTGCCCAAGTTTTACACTTACATTAAAGGTGAGAACTCTTCTTGTGATGACCAAAGCGGAATCAATTTGACGAACATGGCGTCTAAGAATCTAAGTTCTGTAATCATAAGACGTCTGGGGGAAGCTCGGGCACAGTGGAACCGAGAACATCAGGCAGATCCCAGATCTGGCCGTGGATATATCGACACTCCACCAGGTTCTAGAACACAAGCACACTTACCAACGGTTTGACACACTAGCTGTATCTCTTGACCTAAAGGTGGCATTAGAATCCGTCAGTCGAGAGTTCTTACTCAGTATCTCTGACTGAAGGGGGTGCGTAGTAAATACCACACTATTGAAGGATTTGTAGTCGAACAGCCGTGAGTGTTTAGAGCTTATAGTGAGTTATGTACGTCAGGGATGTTCACTCTCTCCGTCCTTATTCAACTTTATTATAGATGTACTTGTAAATGTCTCCCTCTCATCGTCTGACTTCACTGGATTTGACTTTATCAAATCTATGGTAGATTTAGAGCATGCAGATGACAGTTTTGTTAGGCAAAGACGCTGACAAGATGCAGAGTCTTCTGGACCCATTGAGTGGTAATTTAAGAATGGGATGCGTTTCTCGCCACCCAAATGCAAATTGTTACTCCAAGACTGGTCTTTAGTGCTACCCTGCATAACAATTGAGAGTGAAGTGGTTGAATACGTTTACCACTTCACTTACCTAGGAAGTTGGGTCAGTCCTGGTTGGTCAGTGGTCGATGGAATCTCTTCACGGATATAAATGGCTCAGTTGACTCTTGCAAGCTTAAGCCATCTATGGTATCGGCACGATATCTGATTGTCTGCAATGAGGAGCGAGTGTGCTACGCTGCAGTTCGCCCTGTTCTATTATATGGGTGTAGACATGGCTATTAAAGGCCAAGGATATGAATAGACTTCAGGTGTTTGACCACCTTTTACTTTGTAGCATGGGCCCGTCTGTCACGGTGTCACTGCGTCAGTAACATCGAAGTCAAACGTATAATTTTAGGGAGAAGAGGAAAGTCAGTTGATAGAATCGTGAACCCTCATCGACTGAGATAGCTGGAACATATGTTACGTATGCCTTGTCACCTTCTGCATCACCGCACCGTGTAAGCTGGAGTAGTTTCATGTTGGAAAACGATTAGAGGCTGCCAGATTAAAACGCTGTATCATTGCATGAAGTCTTTGACTATTGGTGTGTCTTGTGTAGAAGATTATAAACTTCTTGGTAGTGGTCCATGTAGCAACAGAAACCAGCAGTTGGAGACTAGATGATATGGCTCAGAATCGATCCCAGTCGCACAGATGCATCCGCAAGTTATATTTATCCAGTCGTCCTACTGAATTTCAGTGTTGTTTCATTCTTGTTTACCCTCTTTTGATGACTTTTAGCACTGTTGATTGCGTTCTTCCTCATTTCTTTTATCTTGGTGCATTCTTTCTTGATGTTCTGACATAATATATGGCAACGTGAACCTTTATACAGTCATGCCATGTGCTACGTTGGTCCCATCTTTGTGTTTGGTTTTTTTCCCCAGCCTTAGAAAGTAAATTACGTCACTCATCAGCAAAGTTGCACTACTGAGACTTGGCTTAATATTAGAGTGTTTACTTGACAAACTTGAAGTATTGGATATTATGTTACCTGTTTTTTCTGATCTTAGCAAACAATCTACATTCCTTAAGACTGTTGAACGATTGTCATCTGTTGAACCATGAAGTTTTTGACTAATTTCAAGTGCTCTGTTAGCTTTTAAATGAATGTACTTACACTTAGTTATTTGTCTATTATTCACTGTTACCAACACTTTTTCACCTTCTCTTTTAGGTAAACAACTACCCGGAGTTGTTGCGCTTACGGATGCTGTTTAACTAACTATAATATTGGTTAACTTTCTCGGTTGAACTATTATAATGATTAGTTTTCTTCATAATTTTACAATTTCTGGACTGTTTTCAGTTGAATACTTCTTATGGTGATCATCATTACACGTGCATGTTGCGCCAACACATTTCTTATCGCCAATGTATCGCTTTCTTTTTGTTTTGATGTATTTCTGTCAAGTTTGCTTTAGTGAGTGTTAAACACATTTGAAGATAACTCTTCCGCACATTAATACAAATTCAGTGTAGATAATTTTTCACTAGTCGTTTTCACTTGTTAACTATACACGTCCTACTTGTGTTATTAAAATAAATGATCTTGTATGAAAGTTACGTTGACTTTTGGTGAATGACGTATTCAGCAGTTAAATGTACAAAACATCTAATTTACTGACGAACCTTTTGCACTACCATTTATTCACACATAGATTATAGGGGTGATTATGTTACCTTAACTCACCTGATTTATAAGGTTGTGGCTCATTGATCTAGACACTTGATTTCTTAATGATGGTTGGCGGGTTCTAAAGATGTCCCATCCACCACCGGGAGTCTCACATGTGTTTGGCTCGATATCTACTGCGCTAACGTGCACGTGGTTACTGAATTAATTCCTTCCAGTCAACTATCAAGAGACAAAGTGTATATCGTAACAGTGGTCTTTGTTTAATATTGCGTTGAAGGCAGATTGTATAAGAAAGCTACGAGTATTTTATCAATAAATTATTTGATATGCCTATTACCATGTTGGGATCGTCGAATATACAGATTTATAACTAAGTGTATAATTTAAGGAGGGGCTTGCTTATTTTTTGTCGATAGGTACTTGAAGGATGGGTTATGTGTACTGACGCGTTTGACACATTGAGATACGTGTAGGTCGGTCGGTTAACTGAAACGATATCAGTTCATGAAACCAGTAACTACTGAGCTGAGGCATTTTTAAAAGTCTTGATATGATTATCTAAGTGAGTGAAATATCACGTAGTTTGAAATCTAGGAATTTTCGAATTGATGGCAAAAATGCAATCATTACAATACTGTGAGTGTCGTTGGTTTTTTGTTTTTACTTTGGTCGGTTTCTCTTTCTACAACTGATTAACATAAATGTGGCCGATGAAAGCTGCATTTACACTTTGATAATACGATAGAATATCTCCGGCAATATTTTGATATACGAGTGAATTCTCAGTCCGTAATATTGCAACAAATTTTCTCCTTGTACAACATCCTCAAATGAAATAATAATAGTGATTTAATAATTTTAATGACAGTAGTATCACTCTCATTAGTACATGATATGCAACAAAACTGAAATTGATGTTTCTTTACTGCTGTAAAATTGACAGGTAAGCTTTGTTCTAATATTTCTTTGTAGGAATACGTACCAGATAGGGTGTGGTTGAGTTGTCGTACTTGGCTGTGTGCTCAAAACGCCTTATGGAGTTGCTTTTGTCTTCCATGAGAAGAAAGCTGTGAATAGGGAGAATACTTGGCGTTTGATAAATTGGCTATAACCAGTTATTTGCGGGAATTCAAGGATCTGTTAATCAGTAAGTTCAGAAGTACGTCACTAGTTCAGCAAAAAGTGTAAGTCTCTACGCAAGGTAATGGCGTTTGCTCAGCAATTGAGGAAAGAATAAAAAGGAACAATATGGAATAGTAGGTAAAATATATAAGAACTAAAAAACAGCAAAAAGAGAGGCTGAACTGTGCAAAAGAGATTCAACTTCCCTGTATAGTCTGTCAAACGAACGATTTTTTTGACCAAATAAAAAGGCATAGATTGTCTGAACTGTATTTGCACAACATATTTCGAGCAATGTGATCATACACGTACTTGTCACACGCGTATTTATATTAAGGGAACTAATTGTTATCAATGATTTCTCTATTGAAATCAACAAAATTTATGATAACCGATGATGGGAATAGAACAACCCGGGGTTGATAACATTCGGTGAATTTTGTAAAATAGTATCATCAATATTGCATGAGTCGTGGAACTGAGGCAGATCACTCATAGTCTAACAATTAAAGGGATTTAGCTAGAAAGTGTTGGTCATTGCTAGATAAAAAACCGTTTTATTTGAGAACAGTTTAATTGATAACCAATTTGCACAGAGGTTTTCATGTAATTAGCATACTTAATATAAGCACTATGGCAGAATGTAATTCCATATTAAATTTGTTTTTTATTTATAACACACAGTAATGCAGTATTACCTACTTGACGACGTTTCGAGCATAAATTATCACTGTTCAGTTATATCAATGTTATCACATCACTTCCGACAGCTGGTTTCTATAGTCCTGTCACCTCTTATTCTTTGTTTTCATTGCTAGTAAAGTTTTCCACATCTGTGGTATAGGTGTTGCATCATTCCTGACACATGTGTTGGGTGTTGATTCGGTGAACAAAGATTCAGTAATCTCTGTCTCTCTCTCGCTTCATCTAGTTATATTGGACAGTGGTTTTATCCCACTGTATTGTGTGGTTGTGCGTTAACGCATGTATTGCAATGACCGAGTTTTTTTTCTGCGATTATTGATTTTATTGGGGTCTGTCCTTCTATATTTAGCTAGATTCTTATGTTCCGCTAATCTAACCTGACCCCAACCGGGTATTCTGATTTATGTACTTGACCTCACCGTCATTGCATGGATTTCGGTAGATTAGATTATGTTGCTTAATTGGTTCTGTGGGATCTTTGAGCGGGCAAAGCGTATCTCTGAGTGAGTTCGTAGATTTAAATGCCATATTAGGAAGGAACATCAGAAACTAGGTAGGATTCTCAACAAGGTTGGAATTAGGGTGGCATTTAAGCCTACAAACTCACTCAAAGACAACCTTTGCCGGCTTAAGGATCCGATGGATCAAATTAAGTAGGTTATGTGAGTCGTAGAATGGTTCGTAGGACGTATATAACTGTGAAAGGTGTGAAGAATTGATGAAGGTGATAAGTCAACGAAGTATTATGCGATGGGATTAGATTAGTTGGTTAAAATGAAATCAATATTTTCTAAAAAGATTAAGAAAATTAAGTGAAATAACACCGGAAACTAATCGAAGTGAAAATAATTATATTAATAATAGGGATAAAGGAAGGATACAAAGACTAGTTCAAAAAAGCGGGAGAGTGAACTAGTTTAGGTGGTAAAATGTCATGGTAAAAGATCAGGCTTCAGTTTATGAATATGTAGGGGTAGGTGTTACAATTCCGTAACGTTTGATCAACCCTACTTAACTTGATGTGCTCTAGTACCTGCTTAACCAGTACTTTACCTAACGTGTAAGTACTGATAACAAAACATAAATCAAAAGAACTGATACTGGAATATATTTGAAGTAAATGTAATAGTAATAGATGGGGGAAAAGTTGAATCAACTTATCTGGCTTGTAAGGCTGAACTAGGGACTCTGAGTACGTGCGTGGTAACCAGCACTATGGAGTGCGAAATGGCGTCCAAGCCTGCTCGGATGCATGCTCGTTAAAACAAAACTTAAAAACACCTAAAGCATCCGGAGGTGAGCTAGAGGTTTATTTAGTTAGTTTAATTTAATCTATTTATTTTAGCCCTAGTTGTATTTCGGTGCCAGGAATATGCACTACAAATAGCTAAGACCGCTATTTAAAGAAGGTGAGAACGTGGGAGGTTTGGACGAATTAGATAAACAATTTAAAGTTGTTGTCTGGGTTTGTTGAGTGATGGAAATCAATCAAATTTTCCAGAATATAACTTTAACAGGTTTTCTTTCAACTTTATAAAACCGGGCTGGAACATATTCTTGTATACATGTAGAAAGCATTCACTGGCTATCAGCAATCTACCTTGCTTCACGAGAGCAGATGAACTGGAAGATACACATAGAGGCAACCAGAAGAGGATGCATATGTTTCACGCAAACGGAGAATAGTTTACGGTTGCTAAAAAATAGCCGAATTGTCGCTGCGAAGAACGTTTCACTCCTTGTTGTACATACGTGATTCCTGAGTACATCTGATAGTTTCTAGGTTCATGAACACTTTTCTTCGAAACCGAGCGACTGACCGGTTTTGTATTTCTTTCTCATATATCCTTATTTTATGAGAGAGAGAGAGAGAGAATTAAATTTCTTTTTTTTACAGGCGCCCAACTATAAAAATTAGTTAACTGTCCGTTTCACGTTGCGTTTCTATTGGTGAATCTTTTGAGGGATCCATTGTTGCCTTTGGTGAAAAGCACATCAAGAAAAGAAATAATTAATTCTGATTCTTTCTCTATGGTGAACTTCAGGACTGGATGATAGTCATCGAACGAGCGAAGGACATTGTCTAAATCAATATCTTTATCACAGATAAAAATCGTATCCTCCATATGTCTTCCATAAGAGTTAAAGTAACTAATAATGGTAATTTGCTTGGCTGTTGCTAGCAGAAGAATCCGGGACGCGCATTTCACCCTATTTGGGACTTTTCAACTGGATATACCTGCACCCCAGTGAGTGGTCTTATTCCCACTGAGACTCGAACCTCACACCCATCGCCTCAAACGCCAAAGCGTAACCTACTAAGCCATGGGGACACGATACCCATTTCTTATACAACGGGTATTAGTTATTACTATTTATTGATGTACTTGTAACCCTCTGTTGTTTTATTGGATTGAATTGTTCCACCTCTATATTGGGGAAACAATTCAATCCAATAAAACAACGGAGGATCACAAGTGTATCATTGAGTAGTAAAATGACTAATATTTTGATAAAGTTGAGTACTTGGGTCAATCCTCAATGCAGAGCGATCATCATTGAATACCACTAGATAGTATTTGCCCAGATATTTGACTTGGTTGGCCCCAAAGACCAAAGCTTCTCATAAGAACTTCGGGAAATATATCTAGAAGTATGTCACTAATAAGTACTAAATTGTAGTTTGTTCGGAGGTTTGTGATGATTGATTTTATTGCGCAGTTTGTCATTTATACGTCATGGTTAAATTTAAGTTTTCAAATTAAGCTACTGATTTCTCAGTTAGATTGAGTGATTTGATTCAAGGTGCAGTGAAGGAGTACTGTACTTGAATCACGATTTCATAGCTGTAATGGACACAGAAATATGTATAATAAGGTTTATCAATTGATTATTTCTGAAGCAGTTGGAGAATATCAATCCTGGTTTTTGTAGAAACTGAAGTTATGATACGTCTCATCAACCCCGTACTTGTCCGTACATCATACCATGAGTCTCGTTCAAAATGTGAGGGCTGATAACGCATGACCGCCAGCATCTCATTGGGTAAAGCGCGATCAGGTCTTGTAATACATCGATTAATGATCGAATACCACAATAAATAAACCACAGTTATTTCAGGTTAAAAATGAAGCAGCATTTGGTTAACATTTGAGTTCAAACTATCAGTATGTAAGTTTGGAGTGAATTGAGTAACTGCTGAGTGTGTTAGAACGATTCGCTTAAAAAATTCATTTCACTATCTTTTTATAAATGTGATTAATATCTAGTAATGATGGATAGTGGTTAGCAGTGGAATCCAGGATATCTGTTTACTTTTGTACTTAAATGCAGTTACATTTGTTTGACTTCTGTATGGTAAGAGATATTCACGCTGATAATAGTTTTAAGACTGCTGTATTTCGCCTGTATTTATGCTCGACTGGACTACTTGAGGTTACATTTGTGTGTTTTTTCATTGAATACAAATATCATTCATCCTACGACACTAAACCATAAACTGGCCACCTACTCCAATCAGTACGGAAACTAAAAAGCAGTAATCGGTATGAAAGCTGTTGCGATGTTATGCACAAAATGTTTACTTGTCAACGTCTTCACATAAATTACTCTACTAAATTATAGTAATTGCCATATCTAAGCGTCTAATGAGATAGTGACAATACTGACACAGTGCTGTTAACACACGTAAACAGTTTTCGAATAACAGGTCACTGAATTTCCCCAGTATAGAGAAGTCTGGACTAGTAGGCGTGGAATAAACAAACAACTCTTCTTTGTGTTTAAATGTTCTAATGACCAAACAAAGTCAGCTGGCGTCTTATATATTTGTTGACCTGATTTGGTTGGTATGGTCAATAAGTCAGCAGTAGAATTCATGCTTAGTGGTGTTTGCACTATTGTCAGTTGGAGCATAAACAGAAAAGGGGGCGAAACTTCTTTTATCTTACCACTGACTCCTTCCATCTTAAGAAACTGTGAAAGACTAGTAATGGGAATCTAGCTTTTTAGTTCAGCTTTAATCCTAGTGGTCGGTGTAACACGGACATCATTTAGTTCGGATGGCTATACAAGATATTCATCAGTTAAGTGGAATATATTTCCTGAGCTTATAGATGGAGAACGCACCAAACACTTATAATGTGAGTTTGTTGAGGTGAAAGTAAATGTAGTCGAATTTAAATCCCTGGCCTAGCTGTTTATAATGAAGAGACTGAACTAGTGAGCCGTGTATACACACATTTACAAGAAAAGATGTGCGGTAATACTTTGGTTTATTTTATATGACAGTTACGAATTATGAGTGTTCATTAGAAACTTTTCTGTATCATAATTTGTGGATACCCCGACAGCGATTGTCTTTTACAATAATTGTAATTGCTGGACAATATCGTGTTTGATTCAAATTATTTTATTGAAATCAAAACCCAGTTTCGAAAGCCAGTTCGTTCTATCACAACATGTCATTGGGTAACTTCTGAAAGATTCAATAAAAACTTCGTATATGTTTGCGACTCTGATGCATATGAGTAGTGGTTTTTGAAATAGACCATGAGCCGTAGATACCTATCTCTTCCGAATTAAAATTAACAGTGCTTTTAGAAGTGGATTAAATCACAGCAATTTTACCCGACCTGATGAAATTAGCTTCAACAGGTGAATCATAACTGATGATTTTAAATTTCATTGAAAAGCTTTTTCAACATACTAACTCGGTTGGGTGTTCTGTGATTAAGGAAATAAACCTTACACTTGTTATGGTTTCGAACTCCAATAGTTATATAGTTGTCTAAATCTATATATATATATGTTCCGGAAGGAATTTAATACTCATGATTAGCTGACAGCTAACTTAGCACGCAACAGCCACTGACTGAAACCTTGGGGTTAATAGAGAGAAGACCGAAGCTGGATGATGGGAGAGTTTACTCCGAG